TGTTGAGTTGATGGTCATGAGATACGGCAATTTCGGTGGACATGCTCATGACCACGGCGACGATGGACATAGCCATAACGAAACCCACACACCTCCCTTCGACCTTGACAGGTCCACCACCAACACAGAAATGACGAACGCTGCCGATTCGTCGCCGTACAAAGATAATCCCATCTCCGTGAGCATGCCACTATCTACTCGTGTATCTCGGGCCCAAAGTACGCATGTGCCTGGAGAAGATCACTTGGGACATGTCCGTGAACACAGTGAAATTGAGGAGGCGGCCAACCCGTTCAGCCTCGAGGATTACAAAGCACAAATGACTGCAATTTTCATCCTCGAATTCGGCATCATCTTTCACAGCGTCTTCATCGGACTGACGCTTGCTGTGGCCGGCAGCGAGTTCAACACCTTGTTTATCGTCATCATATTCCACCAGACCTTTGAGGGTCTGGGTCTGGGATCCCGGCTGGCGGTAACACCGTGGCCAAAGGGTCGACGATGGACCCCATACATCTTGGCCTTGGCTTATGGCCTGAGCACTCCTCTGGCCATCGCCATCGGTCTGGGTGTGAGGAAGAGCTATCCTCCCAACTCACAGACGACACTCATCGTGAACGGCATCTTTGACTCGGTGTCTGCTGGCATTCTGATTTACACGGGCTTGGTGGAGTTGATGGCCCATGAGTTTATGTTTAGCAATTCGATGCGAAAAGCGAGCATTCAAACGGTGATGGCGGCGTTCGTCACCATGTGTCTCGGTGCCGGACTGATGGCACTACTTGGCAAATGGGCTTAGTGAGCTATCGGTATGAAATTTTTGTTTGAAGAGTGCGGCATTTGACCATGTAAAATGTGGAATGCCGGGCTCATGTGTATGGTTGACTTTGACCGGACATGGACCAGGTCAAGGGATGAAGATAAATCAATGATACCCTGAGAGAATCTAGCCATAGAAGCTAGATTTAGTTGCGCGACCAGAATAGACAATGCGCCATTCATTTCCAAGTGATGCGAAAAAGATTCTTCATGTTTCTGCTAAAGAACTGGTGGTGGTGGTGGGCTTAAAGTGACTGGGGACGTATGTACGTACCTAGCCAAGCGACTACATACCTCGTACTCGGTACGTCCTATACTACTGTACTATACGAGGTGCTGGTGACACCATACCATACTAATACCTCACGATACCGGGCTCCGGAAACGAGAACAAATAAACTCCTGTCAAGTTACTAGTATTTAGCTCTAGCAGACGGACAATAGATAAAATAGACACCCCAAATCCCTCCACCATCCCGACCCACCCAACCCTCCCAGGCCCAAATCCCCAGGCTAAATACCGAGAAAGAAACAACTCCCCCAACCCTAACGAGGGAGAAATCCTTCATACAGACTAAAAGGATGGTGTCTCTTTTCTTCTCTTTTGGTTTTTTTGTTCCCCTCTTCTTCCCGTGTAACCACACCTCCCTGGGCGGGGGACAGGACAGAGGGGGCATCATTCATTCCGCCAGCACTGGTCTTACTGGTACCGTTACTGTACTGGATCTTTCTTTGACTATTGCGGCAAGAATAAGGGGTGTGAAACCCATTTGAGTAACCGTTCGTCCTCTCTCCATATATTTCCCCACGAACCACGTCACCCTTCCCGCGCGAGAATACCGAATAGTCGCCCATTGTCGACGACGCACCTGGATAGGTCCGAACTTGTGTCATCCCCGCCGGTGCCCGTGGTACTAATGTCCTCGGATCTACGCTCGTTGTATTGACGGTCATCCATCCTGCAGGCCTCGGGCGCTATGCATTGAGGGCGCGCGAGAGGTCCGTGACAGCCTAGTTCGGGGAGAATTTCGGTCTCCATTTTGACGTCGTCGCAAGGGACGCCGCGCATACTGGCAATGATGAGGGCGGCTTCGAGACAGGGCGTGCTGTTTGCCGTGAGGGGCGGCTCGCAGAGTCTTTGCCTGTATGGGGCGGGAGAGACGGTAGGAGATGGAGTGGAAGATGGATGACGTGCGGTTGACGATATATCAAGGTCGGAGGTGGCGAAATTCGAAGATGGAGGCGAAGGCATCAGCGCCGGGGTATCGTCTGCCTCTTCAACAAGTGGAGTCCACATACGGTCTTCGTGCGTTTGGCCGTTGACTGCTGCGACGTCGTGCACACTGAACGAGCTCGGAGGCGGTCCGGATACGAATGATGGAGGTCGTGAAGAAAACACAGTTGTCGTCGAGTTCGTCATTTTATTGCTGGTTGGCTTGGCGGCTATTTCACGAAGCTGACTTGGTGGTGCTGGCATGACCGTAAAGGGAGTGCCCTGTGCGAATGTCTTTCCGTCGAACACACGGCTCTTCCGTGTTGGGCCGGTGCGTCTGATCTTCCGTCGTCCATCATCACAGGAGGGACCGTCCCCCTTGTCTTCCCTCTGCGGAAACCCGCTAGAACGCCCGGCCAACGACCTCTGTAGAATTTCGTTCTGCTCCCGCAAAGCCTTGACTTCCTCTCTCAAGACACGATTCTCCTCCGCAACCCTGCGCGCTGCTAATTGCACTTCTGCAGTGGCCTGCACGCCTTGGGCTTCGTGTTCGCGTATACGGCGCTCGAGGTCTTCAATGTACACCTGTCGGCGGGCGCGGCAGCGCCGTTGGTTAATCGTGTTGCGCTTGGCTTGGGGGGCCTCCATTGGCGGCACTGATCGCGAAGGATCTATGGCTATGGGAGGAAAACTCGAGTCTGGCCGCAATGCTGATCCCTGGGCGCTCATCTCCACTGGTGTATAAGAGCCCATGATGTGAGGCTCATTATTCATCCGCGGCGTGCCTCCGCTCTGAGGTGGAGAGTCGCGATCAATAATCATCCGCGTTGATGAATCAACGAGCCAGAAGCGCGCTCTTTACAACATCAACATGAACATGAGTACGTGGCCACAGTTGTTTGGAAGCCAACTGGTATGGTTGGTTGGTCGGAGGGAGGATTGTCGTTGGCGGGCAGCGACGGCACGAAAAAACGATTTTGCGTCATTTTTTGAGCAGCACCACCACAACAGCACAAACACGTCTAAAGCGGCAAGACGCCAAGAGCTTGTCACCCCTGCGCTTTGATTCGTCCAGCGGCTGCTTGTTTTTCCATGTCCTTCTCATCCACAAACTCAATGGCCATGTGTTGACCTCGTCCTCGATTGTCCACTGGTTGTCCCAATGAGGCGTGTCTCGCTATGCTGTGACGGAACTACCCAACCATGACATTGCATATTTCCCGTTACCGCATCAGTACTGGTTGTACGCGGGTCCTTATCCTACGATGCCGGGCCAATAGCTCCTGGGCCGTGACACACCGTTTGATGTATTAAACCTGAGCACGATACCTCCAGATCGGGACACTGTCTATTCCAATACGTGTCACGTTGGAAAGCCCAGGAGTTCGCCACCTCAACCTACTTTGCACAATCTTGTCAACATTGTATCGAGCTTCGTGCAACAATGGACGCCGCCACCATTTATCAGACTGTCAACACCAAGTATTCCGACCTCGCCTTACGTGCCGATATTAGTGAAGTCCAGGCATCCAAAAGCACTCACATTGCAGCATCTTTCGGCTATTCGTCAGAAGACCTGGCGTCCGTCCCCACCGGGACGAACCTTGGCCTCTCATGCGGGAACCCACTCGCGACAGCGAACCTTCAGCCCTATGAGAATATGGTTGACCTCGGATCGGGCGGAGGGCTTGACTGTTTGATCGCGGCCAAGCAGATGTTGGCAAAAAGTCCCTCGCCGAGTGGGAAGATATATGGCATCGACAGGAGTGAAGCAATGATCACATTGGCGAGGAAGAATGCCACGAAGACAAACCTGCCCGAGAGCTTGGTGGAATTCATCCAAGCACCAATCACGGAGATTTCCCTCCGAGATTCTTCAATTGACCTGGTGGTCAGTAACTGCGTCATCAACCTGGTCCCGGACGAAGATAAGCCTATCGTCTTCAGGGAAATCTATCGACTCCTCAAGCCGGGTGGGCGGGTCGCAATCAGCGATCTCCTCGCAAAGAAGCCCATGCCAGACCATATACGACAAGACGCAGCTTTGCTGGTGGGCTGCGTCGCGGGTGCAAGCCTGGTTGACGAATATCGACATTGGATGGAGGAGGCTGGGTTTCAACATGATAGCATTGTCTTTATCAACACCGGAAAGGACTTGAACGTCTACCATGATGCGGAGGTCGCGGCGCCTTGTTGTATGGAGGCGACCCTGTCGAAGAGTTGCTGTGAGAGCGGCACAGCGGGCGCCTGTTGCGTCGAGAAAAATGATAGCGATCCTGTCAGCAAGGTTGACTTCAATGAATGGGTGGCTTCATATCAAATCTATGCCGTCAAATGACTGACAGTCATCCAGCAACACCATGCGAGCAGGGCGTGTGATATAAGAGCATGTTTTACCGGATGAGATCAAACGAGGAGTTCATGTAGCCTGAATCGACAATTCTTGATACACCTCCACAATGATTCTTACCGAACCCCAACGACCCTGCAACAACACACTTGATCCTTATCGACGCAGTACTCCTCGTACATAGTAGCGCTGCGTGACGTTCAGGAACATGTGATCTTGTGAAGTAACTGGAAAGAAAGGAGCCTGACTCCAAGAAAATAACAATAATTAATAAATCTCCAACCTCCCCTGGCCAATGACCAATGAACCATGCAATTTGTACCCGGATCGCGGTTCATCATCGGCGTTGTCCCCCGGAAACCACTGCGACATGTCTTCGTTGATTAGTATACAAGCACCTCGTTCAGCGCTCAGCGCTCAGCGTTCAGCAAGTGGAAATGTGACTTTATAATAGTTATTCGTCTACTATTTCCTAGTCGCGCACGATCGAGAGAAATCTCCGTGACATAGCTTGACACAACCAGGGGGGCAAAAAAAAAAAGGAAAGGCACAGGTCACATCACATCATCCAGTCATCTAGGTATCTAGGCATCCAGGCATCTAGGCATCCAACCAACCATGCCTCTGTACGATGTCGAGCACGTCGTCGCCCTGACGGCGGACCAACAGGAACGGCTCGCGAGGGCCTTTACCGACCTGCACTCGACGCGGTTCCGGACGCCCCGGTTCTTCCTCAACGTGCGGTACACGGACTGTTCGGGGCAGGTCGTGTTCCGCAACGGGCGGCGCGCCGTGTACAACCGGGTGATACTGCGGACGCGGGCCGGGGAGCAGCATCGGTCCAAAGAACTCTACGACGAGCACTGCCGGGACGTGATCAAGGCGTGGGAGGACATCGTGGGGAGGGAAGGCGAGTTGGGACTGAGGACGGTATGGGTGATGGCGGCCCTGACGACGGCTGTCGAGTGCGGGATCGCCAGGCCAAAAGTGAGTGTGAGACGCACCACCCATACATTTCTTATCATGAGAGTCGAAACCTCCCACCAGACTCCCTTCCTTCTTTCCTTCCTACCTACCTAGCCTGAGGCAGCTTCGCTTTCTCTGGCATCTTTTCTTTCATCCCCCCCTACAAACTCACGTCACTCAAATCTCCATGATCCAGGTCGGCGAGGAAGACGAGTGGCTCAAGACAAACATGGGCGAATTTCGCAAACTGGCAGCAGCTGGCGACGAGGACTTTGTGGAACTGGTCCAGGAACTCGACTCGAGAGGTCGATGAATTCTCAACCTGAGAAAGAGATAGAGCAATTGTCAATCCTAGATTCCCCCTTCTCTCCATGAACAAAGACCCGCTTTCATGAACTAATTGTGTCGCGGTCTGGCGTGTGTCCATCACCCTCATTCCTTCGCCTCATGCCGTTTCTGCACCTGTCAAAAGTCCCTCCCCAGATCAGCCTCTCTTCATCTCAACGTCGGTGACTTAAACCCCCCATTCACAATGAATTGAAAGAAGGCTCGGCCTGCCAAGCTTAGTTGTTTTCGTGTTCTTTGTCCCTCGGTGGGAAAGTAGAAGGGCGGTGAGAGCGAGGATAAACCAGATAAAGAGAATGTTGTCGGTGGCCCTGCGAGGCGACTCGAATATTGTTGCTCGGAGTTGACGTTCCTCTTGCTTTTCTTGTCGTCGCATCATGTCGTCGTACAAACATGAAACATCACAATGACAAAATCTGTCAAAATAAAATAAAAAAAAACGAAACCGGCAATCCCTAAAGAAAAACATCACATCAATAACTCCTTCCGTACATGATCCCCCCCATCGGCCCCTGATGAGGTTGCGGTGGTCGAGTGGCACCAGGGCTGGCAGATGCCACAGGAGGACGATGAAACATATTCACCAGCTTCCGGCCGACAGTGGGTTCAATCTCGGTGCCATCTCGGGCAATCTTCACCTCACGATTCGAATTCAGTGAGTTTCGAAGACCTCTGGTCCTGTAAAAAGGCAGACGATCCGTCGACATCCACTTGATCTTGAAGGGCTTCCCAAAAGTCTGTGGCGTCGCTGGACTGGTTGATTCATAGCCTTCTCCTGAAATATTGCCGGGGTCATCATCTGTGTGTTGCTCTTCTTTCTCTTTCCCTTCTGAGTCTGCTTCCCAGAAGATTGTCCCTCTAGCCGAGTCGTCGATGATTCGTCCCTTGGGTGCGGTCGCCGTAGCCGGTGTCGGTATGGTCAAAGGCAGGTCTGCTGGACTAGGCTCTCGCGTCTCCGGTCGTGGCTGGTATTCGATATTCGCCGCGGCCTCGTCGCCGATCGCCGATTCCATCCGCGCATATCCAAAGTACTCGCCAGACTTGTTTGCCGAGAAGACGAGGTAAACATTCTCTGCGGTCTAAAATCTGTCAATGGCAAAGTCGATACATTCCCATCAGCCTTCACACTTACCTGATACGCATTGTTCAACACGGCCTCATTGTGGGCTTGCGTTGCCCATATTCCGCTGACGACGCTGCGCTCCAAATCCTCAATGGTCAAGCTTTTTACCACGAAGAACCTCTCCTTCACCTTCTCTATGGGTTCTGGCTCTGTTGTCATTGTCCCGTCAACCATCGATGTTTCATTGGGCGCCGTATCGGCCTCGGTTGTCGCTTCGGTAGATGCCGTTGGTTGTTGGCTCGCAGTTTGCGATGATGTTGCTGTTGCAGAACTTCCACGCCGTAACCGGCAAACCAGTCGCACCCCTTGGAACCGCGAGTCGTGGAAGCGAGCCATCGCTGCTGCGCAGCTAGCCTCGGTCTTATAGTTAACAAAGGCACAGTTGCTCTTCGAGATCAAGAAGACGCTCTCGATTTCTTCAGTCGCATCCCTTGCGAAGTGATCTTTGAGGTCAATTATATGTGTCGCGGGGGGTAAATTGCCAACCCAGAGGGCATGACCAGATTGCCTTGGTTTCCTTGGAGGACCTCTGAGCACGGATGTCTGTAGTGACGAATTTGAGCTAGATCTCCTGACTATTATGCAGGTCAGATGTGTCAGTTCACGCACAGACCCCTTAACGCGGTTATAGACTTTCCATACCTTGAGAATTTGATTGTGGATAAACTCCTGCTGCCTGAGACTGTGCAAGGCTATTGTCGAGCCGCAGTTGTGGCACCGGATAGGCGGTTGGCAGCCGGGAGCCGTAGGGCGAAACGTAGCCCGCGGTCCCATGTGGTTGTGAAAACTGTGAATGCGGATGTTGTTGACCAGCCGCTCCTGGATTGTGCATCATTGGCTGCTGTACCATAAACGCTTGATTTAGGTACGATTGAGAGCCGCCTGGGCCTCCTAGGTTGCCAACAAATTGCGGATAAGCCGCTCCTTGCTGCTGCTGCTGCTGCCGCGACGGAGTTCCTTGCACATACTGCGACGGGTACTGTTGAGCATACGGGGGGTTGATATGAGCGGCAGTCTGACCTGCAAAATGCGGCCCTTGGTGATACTGATACATGACGGATGGATTAGTGGGAGCGGAGGGTTGGTAAGGCTGGGTATATGGCGACTGTTGATAATGGCGCATCTGGTACTCTGGCAATGCCGCCGCGACACTCGACATATCGAGTCCTGCCGTGCTTGGAAAGTTTCCAATGGCAAACTGCTGTCGAGGATATGGTTCGAACTCCATATTGGCGGGTTGTCCCGAAGGGGGATTCGGAACGGGTAGAGACGTTTGTGGAGGCCGCTCTGCAAAAGTCAGTCCTGTCGACCACAACACTGGGGGAAAAGTGACCTCTTGATAGATGCTCGTCGCTGTCACGCAATCTGGGATTTTGTCGAAGGGGAGGCTCGTCGCCCATACCGAAACCCTCAAATATAACGGGAAGTGTATAGTAGTGCTGTACCCAGAAGACAGCCATCGGTCAGTCCATATTGCCCCAAATGGTGAGACACAAACAAATTAAGCGCCAAAAGATGGTACCTCAAATAGGTATACCTAAGCTAGAAGTGAAGTCGATCTTGTTCGAACCGAGCAGGAGGCTGAGCACGGATCAGGAGAGATCCGAATGATCTCGTTGGTTGTTCAGAGGAATTCTGTTGAGGGCTCCTTTATCTTGTTCGTATATTCGAGAAAGGAAATGAAACAGCCAGCTCGGCGCCAAATTTGGAAATGAGCGTGCTTGACAAGGGTCCTCGAGGGTGTTTCAGAGGGCTAGACAGAGAAGCAGTCAGAACTATTGGTCTGAGTAATGGTGCGCAAAAGATGAGCTCTGGTGAGAGAAGAAGACTCATGTCCAACCGTGTCTCATATCTGGCCTGAGCGGCATGGATGTTAATGACTGGGGGGGCCATAGCGACGCACATTCTACTCAAGCCTTTGGCACATAGCAAGTAAAATTCGACAACGGCTTCAGGGTCCACTTCAAGCTGGTGGCTGATGGAAGAGTCCACTGTATGATTGGGGGTAGCGGGGATAGAGCCCTTGTCGAAGGCGTAGATGATCAGGAGTGAGGAAGACACCAACGGTTTGGCGATATCCGAGACTGAGAGGATGCCGAGGATCGATAGTTCTTTTTCACCAGGAGAATATTCCAGGGAGCTTTTACCCGGGAGCGAAACGAACAGACTGCAGAGTCAGTGGTTTGTCAACGGTGGATGGAACGGTCAAAACAGAAAGCGTGTATTGGCTCGGATCATATATGCGATACTGTGAACTAGTAAAGGGACAATTGTGGATATAGAACAAGACGGCGGTAATGCGCGACCACCAATGCTGGTACAGAGTAATCGATCTGGACCCAAGGGAGCAACTTACCGTCAGACCACGAGTGGCTGAAGAATGCTCTTGCCCTGAGCTATCGCTCGGAAGTCGTGCCCTAGCGGGGGTTCGCATACAGAACAGCACAACGGGAGGCCTCCAACCTGTGAGATCCGCAGGGCTGCTAGAGCTGGTACGGAATTCTTCGTACGTTTGTTTTTGCATGGCATGTGGATCAGTGGGGGACGTGGTCTGGCTGCGTGGATTTTTCTCTCATCTGTCCTTTTCGAAGCTAGTGCGGCCATGACCTTGGGCGATCCAGAAGGGATTTTTGTTCACCTGGTTCGTATACCTCGACGACGGATCATGGTATTGGCAGGCAAGGAGGAGCTCAAAAGAGAAGACTTGAAAAATACCAGTGAATACCAAGGGAGTCCGCAAAAGGGATCCGCTAAGCCACGAAGCCCGAGTTAGAAAGTGTGGCAACGTTCGACAGGGGTAGTGAAGTCTCAAGATGTATGCCTCATGGGCTGTAATTCGCTAGATAGGTGAATCGCCTGTCCGTCGCTTATTACAATAGGCACAGACCGCGGGCAAGGTCCCACCTAATAGTGTGAAGCCTGTTTGCAGTAGTGATTGCGTGCCCATTAGGACGGGGTGATGCCAGACGGAAAGGCGGCGGTCCTGCATGTTTGGGACGACTAGGATATTCCGGTCAAGGGTCAGTGTCGGGTACCGTCAGCAGCTACATTTGTGCGGTGCAGAGTTCAGCTGACCATTGGGTGGTGCTGGGTTCTTTCGACCTGTGGGAGGTTGGGGCCTGGGTGGGCGCAAAGTAGATCCTGAATTGAGCTCTTTGGGAAGTTCTGGACCGTCCAAGGATAGGCAAGCCACACTCCGAACGTTGTGAGTTTCTGCTCCACTGTTCGGCTTCTGCGGCGATCTGGATTCCTTGCAAGTGGACAACTGTCGAGAACTGCCACAGTCTGATTGTCACTCAGAATCACACCAAATGGTACGAAACGTCATTGCAAAACGATTGTTGTTATCCAGCATGTACCACAGCAAAGCTTATCTTACGTTTTGTTGTATTCACCGCAAAAACCAAACGTGACAAATGCTGCCTCGGTGTAGATCATACTTGGAACTGTTGTGGCGTTCACGCGATCGGCTACGAAGTGGGAGTGCCAATACAATCGGAGGAGCCCCCGCAATGGACGGGAAAATCTTTTCGCGTCTCTGTGTGTTTAGATGACAGAGGGTGTTGTATTGGAGACCGCCGTTAGGCAGGCCCGGCGCAGGGATATTCCATGACCTCTGGGACAGATAAGAACACACTTTTTTTTTTCCCGAATAACTGCTGCCCGTTTGTCCCCCAACCTAAAGTATGACGGTAGAATGGCATCATCGGCAGACGATCGCTACGCACGACGAGCCTTGCTATTGTTAGAACGACGCAGGAACGGTCAAAAAATCTGATCATCACCTTGTACAGACTGTTCCGTGTCAATCAGCAATTTGCGTCTGGCCCGAATTCGTGGCATGC